ATGGATTTAGATAGTTCACAGTTTAATGAAACATGCACCGAGGAGCCTGGAGCGAGCAATCTAGGAATTCTACTGACTTGCTTTTCTCCCTTTTCCTTTTGACTCAAATCCTAACCTCAGCTTCACACTTAAACCTGATTTCAACGTTCTAAATTCTACCCCATGGCACTCATGTCTCTACTCCAGGAAATCTTACCTCTATTTCTACGCATCTTCCCCCGAACCTCTTGTCTTTCTTGGTTCTTTCCTCTCAGGTCGAGAGTTAGTTCTAGCTACTTTCATTTTACAAAATTTATTCAAATCATAATAAAATTTTGTTAATCAATGTTCAACAAGCAATATGTAGGCCGAGCATAATGCTGCCTGTCTTTAATCCTAGCTGTTGAAAGGCAGAGGCCTGTGAATCTCTGAATTGGAAGACAGCCGGTCTGTATACAAAGTTCTAGGCCAGTCAAGGCGGTTTAACTCTGCCTCAGGACAAAAAACAAACAAACAAAAAACAAACAAACAAACAAAAAAGCCCCAAAAGACAAACAAACCAAAAAAGCCCTGTAGGCAATATCTATATTAAAAGACCATTGCTTTTGTTAATTGTTCATTTTATTTAATATATATGATACGTATCACATATAGGGGAAGCACTGTATGCACACATTACTGTTTGAGAAACAGAACTATGCTATACCATAGAAAACCTCTCTATGTTCCTACCCAATTGCTTCCATTTTCTTTCCCCCAAAGGTAGACATTTCTTTGACTTTTGCATTAATCGGTAGCTGTTTTAATTTAAAGCTGGGTCACCCCCACGTGTACCCCTAACTGTATTAATGCAAAGAAGAACTGTAGAGCAGGAACTCAACTTACCTCATAAGAAGGTCACTTGTCTTTGCACTATCATGTAGAGCACTGGTTCTCAATCTTTAGATGGAGCCCTTAAATACAGTTCCTCATGTTGGAGGCATTCCCCTACCCACCAACCATAAAATCATTTTTGTTTCTACTTCATACCTGTAATCTTGAAACTTATGTATTGTAGTGTATGCATTTTCAGTTTTGGCACCTCCTGTGAAAGTGTTGTTTGACTAACAAAGGAGTCACAACCCTCCAGTTGAGAGCCACGGATATAGAAGTTCTCCAAAATATTGTACCCATCAGTGCCCATGGGCCATGATTTGACTTTAGATTGCTTGCAAGTTCATGAGTGTCTTTCCTGGGAAGTCAGTGTGCAGAGTCTGAGGTTATCCTAGAAACCTACCAGGCACAAAGCCCTGGTAGTTGGAGCAACTGACCAAAAGATGAGCATTTGGTAGAATGATGCTCAGAGAATGGACTGTCTGACACTTCCTATTCCTAAACCTTCTAACAGCTGCCTCTGGCTTTCAGGTATATCGAAGAAACGCTGCTCTTCTGGGTGGAGCAGCAGAACCTGAAGGCAACAGAAGTCAAAGATCCCCTCCTGGCTCATGGGAGAATTCTCTTCTCTGTGAAAAGGAAGGAAGGAGGCTGTGGGATCTGGGAGAAGATGCACTCATCTAGATTCTTTCTTGGGTGGGCCTGCTCCAGTCTGAACTGGTCACCTTCCAGAGCCAGTCCACACTGGCCATTCTAGAAACTGCCTTCAGCATCTTGGCAGTTCTCTTCATTACTCTGTCTCTGTTTTCCATTGTTTGCATTCCATGTTTTGTTTTATTTGTTTCTCAATAAAGGGCTTTTCTGCCAGCAGTGGCTTTAAGGACACATTGTATATCTGGAAAGCGTAGTTTGCTACTGGAGAGGAGCCAGTGGTTGAGAATGTGCACTCCTCAATGGCCTCTGGTTTCAAAGGCTTGCTAGTGTAGCTGTTTCCCAGGTTTCTGAGGATCCCGGTGCCAGCTTTCCCGTGCTTGGTTCGAGACTTGGCTCTCTCAGTTTTATGAATCTTCCTCTACATGTTTCATTGCTTCATCTTTCTTGTCCTTTCTGTCTGTTGTACAATTCTTTAGTTTTGGTTAGGAATAAAATTAAACGGTATACAGACACACTTTAAAAAAGATTTATTTTTCTGTATATGACTATTTGGCCTGCATGTGTGCATATGCACCACGTCTGTGCCTGGTGCCCACGGAGGCCAAAAGAGGGTGTTAGATTAGGATTAGAGACTGTTGTAAACTACCAGATGGGTGCCTTTAAGCCCTGAACTATCCCTCCTGCCCCATGTATTTGTTCACTTTTGATGCAGTAACAAGACTAGAAACATGTGAGTCAAAATTATTAATGGCATTTTTTGAGAATTTTGGACCGAAGCTAACCACACTGACCACTAAGGATTTTTGAAGCTAGGTGTGGTGGCACACACACTTGTAATCTCAAATAAACACTTGGGAGGTTGAGGCAACAGTATTTTGAGGAGTTCCGGGCTATCCTGGACTACTTAAGGACACCTTGTCTCATAAAATTAAAAACAAGACAAAACAAAACAGTGTGAAGCTTCTAAACGCCTTAAAACTCTGCACAAGATGAATGTAAGTTAGAGAGCTATACATCAGGGGGTTTTCACTTAGGAAACAGTAAACTATACGTAGACTAGCATCTTAGGCTGTGGGTCTCTGTGGGACAGGATACATGGGAGGTCCCACGATTGTGTTTGGTCCTAGCAGTGCACACATGCTCTCTCAGGTCCTATTTTTATCACCACTCTCCTGCCTCCAACTCCCGACCTCTTTCCTAAGAGATCTGTGGGATTCCAGATGAGACGTGAACAAAACCTCCTGAATTCCAAGTTCTCTGTGTTTTCTTTGAAAATTCTCTAAACTCCCACGGCCTCCTGGCTTTCCTCTGAGGATCTTGTTCTCTCTGCAGGACGCTCAGGTTGTTTTCTCCCCAGTGTCACTAGAGGTGGCTGCCTTCCTGTCCCTGTTAGTGACACAGTGTCGACCGACCCCAGTAGAATGCAGTGTGAACGTGTGCAGCTTCCAAGGTTAGGTCATAGAAAGCATTCTACCTTCGGTCTAGGTCTCTCGGATGATACATTCTGAGGAAAGCCCCGGCTGCAGCATGAGGACTCAAGCTGTCCTGTGGAGAAGCCCTAGCAGAGAGGAACCGAGGCCGCAGACCAACAGCCAGTGCCAGGCTGACAGCCCTGTAAGTGAGACTCTTTGAAAGTGGATCCTCTGGGCTCAGCCTCAGCCAGGTGGTTTGACGAGTAGGAGCTGCCTATGGTCACCTAGGGCAGTCTTGTGAGAGACTGTGAGCCAGAGCTTTCTACCTGTGCTGTTTCCATATCTCCAAGCCACGGAAGTCACAAGAGATAGTGAATGACTATTCTCACTCTCTGATGCTAAGGTTTTGGGTGAAGTGTCATGCAGTGATAGTCGCCCAAATACCACCAAAGCCAGGGAAGGGGGAGGTCTCTTTCTTTCCTTCACTCTTTCTTTAAACCCCAGCTTTGAAATTCATTTGAGAACTGTACCTGTGACTGCTTCTCCTATTAGACCCACCTACCAGCTCACAGTTCATGTTCCTCTTTTTCCTTTTTGAGGGGTGCTGGTTTTGAGGCCTCAAACTCACTATGGAGCAAGGTCCAGCCGAGGCTGGCCTTGAACTCCCAATCTCGCTTTCCTCACCTCCTCAGGGCTTTGATTGCTGGCACATGCCTCCTGCCTGGCTGGGGTTTCTTTTCCTATTGAAGAACTCTGGTCCTTGTTTATCATCTCCTCTCTCTTTGCTACTGTCTTACTCTGTCAATAATTCTTGTTTCAATTCCAAGCTGCTGCTTTTCTTACTCTGTGATCTTAAATCGCCCCTCAGTCAGTCACCTGCTCTTATACTTAACATGACAGGGGAGACCTGTTCACAATCCCAGCTCTAAGCACTTTTCTTCTTCCGATTCTTTTTTTTTTTTTTTTTTTTTTTTTTTTTTTTTGGTTTTTCGAGACAGGGTTTCTCTGTATAGCCCGGGCTGTCCTGGAACTCACTCTGTAGACCAGGCTGGCCTCGAACTCAGAAATCCGCCTGCCTCTGCCTCCCGAGTGCTGGGATTAAAGGCGTGCGCCACCACCGCCCGGCTTCTTCTTCCGATTCTTTACTTTTATTACCATCCATCTTTTAAGCCTAAGTAGATGCTAACAATGTTCACCTGAACACTTTCCAGTATCCTTTCCACCGCTTTCCTTAAATGTTTTTAAGACGTAGGTGTGTGTGTGTGTGCGTGCGTGCGCGTGTGTGTGCGTGACTGTGAATGCGAGGTCGTGCACTTAAGTACCTGTGGAAGCCAGAGGATCCCAGGGAGCTCGAGTTACAGGAGGCTGTGAGTTGCCTGATGAGGGTTCTGGGGAACCAACTCTGGTCCTCTGCAAGGACAGCAAGCACACGGAAAACACTGAACCACGGACCTTTCCAAACCCCTAGTATTTTTAACATAAGGTGGCGATGCTAGAAATCAGGCTGTGCCTCTCCACGAGGCTCTGTCTAGTTCTGGTTGTTGTAATACTTGATGGTGTTTGCTTAGTGAGTTTTATAGGTATAAAAGAGAAACAATATTTTACCAGATGCTTTTGTTTGTTTTACTTTTTTTTTTCTCCTTTTCGCTTGTGAGACATGGTCTCCCTGTTGCCCCGTCTAGTCTTGAACTTCAATGTGGTCAGGCTGGTTCCCAAGTCACAGTCTTCTTGCTTCCCTATTTCTTATCGCCCCGCCTGTTTTATTAGATTTTTTATCCTACAGTTTAATGAGATCTAGTACACTCATACTGGAGAACAACCATCCTATCTGCACTATCTCCTGCCCAAACTGAAATTCTAGTCCCATCGAAGAATAACAAACCCTCTGCTTTTCATGGCTCATCACTGATCCCTACTAAAGGGTGGTTAACGCCCTGGCTAACAAATTAGCCTTTAAGGACTTCGCCAAAGGCAATAATCATTAATTGCCGCCAGAGGACGCAAAGCGCTCGGGCTAATCCGGAGGTGTGGATTCCGAGGGCCGGAGCCGGGAGCGCGCGTCGGGCACGCGCCTGGCCGGCCCTCTCCCGCCCGGGAGCTCACAGGGACGCGCGTGCGGGGTGCCGCGAGAGGGTGCCACGATGGATGGCGCTCTGACGGCCCGCCAGGTAAGCAGCCTCGAGGGGCCGGCTCCCGAGAGGTGGCTTCGCCGGCAGTTTACTCTGCATGGTTGTTTGAACCCGCTCCGATTATGATAATTAATTCCTCCCTTCCCTCTCCTCTGTACTCTTTGGCGTTATTCGAAAAGTTGTTACCAAGGAAACTGTTTCCTGTGTCTCCCGCGAGCCTGTTCCTGGCTAGGCGACAGAGTGTTAAGTGGTTGAATTTGGTCCCCAAGATGCCCGAGTCCAGATGTCTCAGCCCCAGACCCCAGTGAATCTAGTTCCATTGACTTGGAATTCTTCTTGCCAGCCTCCCTTCACCATCGGCGGTTGGTTAACAGGACTCACAAAATTGAAGTCCCCAGGCTCTCAATCAAGTTTTTGGTTTCAAATAGTATTGTCGTTTGTTTATTACTACCTTATCTGACAAATGGAAAAGTTGGTTATTAGGGTTTAGGGTGAAAGCCTCTTGGTGCAGGGTTACTAGCGTTTCTCAACACTATTCTCGCTGTATTAGGGTGCTTGTGTGTAGATATTTTTCTTTCAGAGAAGTATTTTAGTGTACTGAAGGGTACGGTTCAAATAACTGTTGGAGGGACAAATGAATGAATGCATTATTTCAATTGACTGACTAATCATTCCTATGAAATAGGATACTGGTGAACTCTATACAACAATTGTCAGGCAGGGCTGTCCAGAATAACAGTGAACCTATCAGCCAAGTAACGGGAAGGTGTGTGTGAAAAATGTTATCCCTTCTGTGGAATACAGCTAACACAGAACTGATAGTGCCACGCTCAGACCTTAAGGGTGTGAAATGATGCGTCTATTACTGACATAATTGAGGTCTCTGGGGGAGGGCAGGGAAGGCCTTCCCCAGAGCAAGGTGAGGAGCCTCCAGGGGCTTATAGAAAAGGTTAGCCTGGCTGGTCTAGGGGCCAAGGAGCTCAGGGATCTGCTTGTCTTCACTATCTCAAAGCTGGGATAACAAACATGTCACACAAAGGCAGTGCCTTTGTGTGTGTTTTCCGGGGTGTGTGTGGGGGGAGAGGGTGGTATGTTGGGGGGAGGGTTGAGGGGGTGAATTCTGGTCCTCATGCTTGATGCTTTACCTACTGTGCTAGCTCTCCAGTACTATCTAATTGGATTTTAACTTAAGGCCACCGTGCTCCCTCTGAGACCTGAGCCCTGAATTTGGTGAGTGCAAATTCCATTGAAAACCTTGCCCAAGAGCTCAGCTGTATTCTGATAAACAAAGCTTTGTGTACTGTACTTATATCTAGAACTCTGAAAAGGATCAAGAGTGTCTGGCAAGCCTTGTCTTATGGATTTAGTATATTCAGACATACGTGTGACCTTGCCTCCAGGTATCAATGTTCACTCCACAGGGGCAACTTCTCAGGCTGTGATCCAAGAATCTATAAAATGTACAGATGCAGCCAGTTGTTAGCCAGGGTGTTTCACTGCTAGTGTTTGGATGACTTCCTGAAGTTTCGGCCAGTTGTGTAAACCCTTCTGGCCTCCCCTATACCAGGGGTGTCTAGTTAAGGGAAAAAGCAGTAGTCCTCCACAGAACTCCAACACTTGTAGCAGTGTGGCTTGATGCTGTTCAGAATTCCCGTTTCTGCGCACTCAGTTAAACCTAAGTTGCTTTTCGGGGAGGCAGAAGGTTCAAGAGAGGAATGACCTTTTTCTAGGACTGTGGCCTCTGTGTAACCAAAGAGGGCAGGGAAGGCCACGTCCTCATGCAATAGTGAGATCACGAAGCTTAGAGTTGGCTCCGTTGAGCTCTTGCCTGGAAAGGTTGCATTTGATAGTGCTATGTCAACTTGACAGGAGCTAAGCTACCAGAGAGACAAGCCACTGGGCCTGTCTGTAAACGGCAGAGAGAGGAGGCATACCTAAAACGTGAGCAGGAACATTTCACCGGCCTAGGTGACCATGAAGAATTTAAATAAGGTACCATTCATTTATTCATTCATTTAGCGTGCACGTGTGTGTGTGTGTGTGTGTGTGTGTGTACGTGTGCTCTTGCCATGTTGCAGGTGTCTAGGGCAGTGATGGTCAAAGTCTAAGTGAAGCATGCCCAATAACCTTGGTTGTTGTATGTGTGTGTGTGTGTGTGTGTGTGTGTGTGTGAATAACTAGTTATTATGAGTGATACCTAGTTTATACTGATTAAAGCCACGAAGATTTGCTAGTGGATGTATTTTTGGCAAGTGTTGAAGTTAATTCAGAAGCTACGTTACAGAGTCACCAAAGTCAACCTTTTCGTTAAGTTATTTTAATGACAGAACTGGAGAGATGGCTCAGTGGTTAAGGGCACTTGTTGCTCTTATGGAGGACTAGTGTTCAATTCCCAGCACCCATATGCTGACTCACGACTATCTGTAACCCAGTTCCAGGACATCTGAGGGCACCAGGCATGCACATAGTGCACAGACACACATGTAGACAAAGCACCGTACACATTAAATAAACAAACACCTAAGAAATTGGAAACAATTCTGAAGATTTGGGAGAAGAAGGAATCATATAAAAAATTAATACTGTATTTCTAACTGGGTCAAATTATAGACTTTTGTTTGTTCCTTCCCCTGTACCCAGGTTTGTCAATCCCTCCTCTTTGTGGTAGGTGTACTTCATGTGACGCATGTCTTCCTTACCCTATCATGGATTGTGAATATTTTCCTCTAGAAAGCCACAAATCAGTGTCAACAGGGTTGGCATCTTCCATGGTTACTTCACAGGATTTGAAAACCCAGGCTTAAATTGGGTTGACTTACACATTTGATCTACTGCCTGGTGCCCCATGTGCTTTCCCCAAGGGACGGTCTTGCTATAACGAAGGCAAAGGAACAGCAATAGTGATGCTCATGGGGCCTGGCATGTCATGATCTCTTATAATGCCTGCTGTCCATCATCCTCCCCATTTTCCCTCCAAATATGGGCATTACAGAGACTTCCCCCAAAGTGGTCATACTCCCATTACATTGTATTTTTAAGGTGTTTAATTATCGTTATTTTAAATTATTGTTAAATATCAGACCATGAACTTCAGGAAGCTAAGAACTTTGTTGTACTTATCTTTGTATTTCATCTGCTTCTTTTTTAAAAAGATTTACTTATTTTATTTATATGAGTACACACTGTAGCTGTCTTCAGACACATCAGAAGAGGCATTGGATCACATTACAGATGATTGTGAGCCATTATGTAGTTGCTGGGAATTGAACTCAGGACCTCTGCAAGAACAGTCAGTGCCCTTAACCACTGAGCCATATCTCCAGCCCCTTATTTTTGTATTTCTAGTACCACCAACTACTACCTAACAAATGGTAGTAGTTGGAAGATGTTTGCTGCATGTATAAATGATGAATGGTAGGAAGCAAAACATTAGTTCCTGTCTTTTGTGAGCATGTATGCATTTGTGGTGTATGCATATGTGTAAGAGGCAATGTTGGGTATCTTATCAGTCACCTCCCACCTTTCATTTTGATAACAGTCTCTTATTGAACACAGAGATCACCAATTCAACAAAATTTACTGGCTGTTGAGCCCCAGAAGTCCACCTATTGCACCAGCATCTCACTAGGCACATGCCCAACTTATATGTGGGTGCTGGAGCGCTAAAACTGGGTCCTCATTCTTGTTTAGGAAGCACTTTGCCAACTGAGTCATCTCTCCAGCCACTAATTTCCATCTTCTAAGTGTTTAAATTATTTTCTTTAGAAGTTAATTTATTGGCCTGGCAGGATGGTTTAGTGGGTAAAAGGTACCTATCCCTAAATCTGACCACATGAGTTTGATCCTCGGGATGCATGATGGACACATGCATATAAATAATTTAAGATGTTTGTAAAAAGGAAGCTTAATCTTGAAGGTAATTTCTATATCCAGAACACATTTTTCTTTTAAAATGTCATTTGTCAATAAGTAACTTAAATTGTTGGTGTTTATTTGCAGATAGTAAACGAAGGGGATTCAAGTCTTGCCGTGGAGCTACAGGAAGAGCCCGAGGAAAATTCTAGCCCTGTTGTGGATGAGAATAATATAGTATCAGCCAAAAAACAGGGACCTAGCACACATAACTGGAGCGGTGACTGGAGCTTTTGGGTAGTATCTTTTAATCTTGAATACAAATTCTCTTTAATTCTACAACAGTTTATTTAATCCTTTGTGATTAGCTTCTAGATTTTAGATGTTGTGACTTCAGAGACCCAATGACATTTCTCTTTATTTTTCTTTTGGCCACTAGAAGGCACTGTTGCCTGGTGGATGGCGTGCAATGGTTTGTCTCCTTGTGAAAATACTGCCACACAATTGGATTGTGTGCTTAGTGTTATCAGCTGTATTGGAAAGACGCTAACATCTCATAAACCATGTTTCTAAGTCTTACTCAGAAACAAGTTATTTTATGTAATTTTCATTCAAAGAGCCGGTTCCTGTGGCAAGCACGTCTTAACAATGCATGCTCTGCAGTGCGTAATGGTTAGAAGATGGGTTTTTAAGTTAGAGCTTCAGATCCATTTTAAGTGTAACTCTGTTATCCTTCTAGTTTCCCCACATAAAAAGAGACTATGACTTCCCGGTAGGCACATTGAGACTATAGAGTGTTATAGAAGAATGTGTCCTCAAGGTGTGAGTGCTAACATTTGTTATTTTAATAGGCTCGTTCCAAAGCCGGCAATTCCTGTGAGGATTTTGGTATTTGATAGAAATCTCATGCCTTACAACCAGAAGTGAGGTTTAAAGAGCGTCACACAGCACCCATAATCCCAGTATTGGTTTATGGGGGACCAATGCTGAGTATTCTGTATCCTTGAGAAAAGACTTTAAAGGACATGGTATCAACAGATTTTAAAGATTAGCACACAGGTGTCTTTAATAAAGAAGTCAGCCCATGGCTGTTACTGACTCTTCACACAGCTAGCAAATTATTTCCTAGTAAAAGACTTAACATCATAAGGTTATTATTTTTATTTTTGGTTAGACATAACCTAAGGAAAATATGTTATTGCTAAGATATATACTAAAATAATAGAGAAAACCATGCCATTTGTAACAACTATATCATTCTTGGTCACTTAGAAAAAAATCTATGTATCATTTAGAACTTTTGGGGGAGAAGAGACAGGAGTATCCTGTGTGGTCCAGGCTGGCCTCCTACTTGCTATGCAGCTAGGGCTAGCCTTGGACTCCTGAGCCTTAGTTTTTCCCCCTTTTATTGAAAATAGATATTTTCCCCTTACATAATATGTCCTGATTGTGGTTCTTCCTCCCTCTACTCCTCCCAGTCCCTCTCCACCTCCTCTCCTGTCTGAGTCTACTTCCTTCCTGTCTCTCATTAGAAAAGAACAGGCTTCTAAGGGATAATAATAAAATATAACAAAATGGGCTGGAGAGATGGCTCAGCGGTTAAGAGCGCTGACTGCTCTTCCAAAGGTCCTGAGTTCAAATCCCAGCAACCACATGGTGGCTCATAACCATTTGTAATGAGATTGGATGCCCTCTTCTGGCGTGTCTGAAGACAGCTACAGTGTACTCATAAATAAAATAAAAAAAAATATATATAACAAAATAAAATATAATAAGATAAATAAAAAACTCTCATATTGAAGTTGAACAAGGCAAATGAACAGAAGGAAAAGAACTCAAAAGAAGGCACAAGAACCAAAGACCCACTTGTGCACACACTTGGGAGTCCCATAAAAACACTAAACTAGAAGCCATAATAAATATATGCCCTGGCCCACAGAGAATTCTACGAGACCCTAGGGAAGGGGGCAAAAGAATGAAGGGACAAGAGACACAAAGAATGAGAGCTAGTCTGGAGTTCTGATCAAGCTCTGAAATTTTAATTTCGGGGGCAGGTTATAAAGACACAGCAAAGTGGGAGTTTAGGCGAGGGTCATTGCTTAGGGCTATCCCACCATTTCCTCATGTCTAAGATCATTCCACTGTCATATCCTTATTGCCCTAGACCATCCCATTGTCATATCTTTATTGCCCTAGACCATCCCACTGTCATAACCAGCTCCCAGGAAATGCCAGACGTTCTTTAAGCTCCTAGGACCTAAGACCTTTCTTAACCTTGTATTGACTATGTTTTCTAGAACAGCAGGTAATTTCCTGGGTTTGGCTCCTGGCATATACACAGGGGACCTACATGTTGCATGGCTGCAGACCCATGCATGTTCTGTGCTTCTGCCTCAGTCTCTGTGGATTCATATGAGTTTGATAATGTTGCCTTAGAGGGCCTCATTTGCTTGGTGTCTTCTATCCCCTCTGCCTCTTACACTCTTTTTGCCTCTTCTTCCTTTGGTTTCCCAGAGCTCTAAGGGGCGAGGGGAATTTGGTGGGGACATCCCATTTAGGGCTAAGTGTTCCAGGGTCTCTCATTCTCTGTGCAATGTCTATCTAAGCTTATTTTTGTAGTTTATATTTTGAATTAAGGAACGTTCATAGCTCCATGGGTTAAGTAGCTATGGTTATTCTTGGATGACTTAAAGCAAGACAGTTACAAAAGGAAAGAACAACAGAATAAGACTTTAGAAAAAAGGGGGAAATGTGTATGCATAAGATGCTTGCTTCTGAAGGTGTAGGGGGGACAGCAGAACTGTCACCAACTACCATCTGGATAAAATACAACATCTTGGGCTCATCACTGTATTGAGATGTTTACTCTTTACAAGATGTCCAGATGATTTACATGTTTTAAAATTTAGAAAGCACACATTGAAAACATTAAATTCATTGCCTCTGTTTAGGCTTCTAAGATAATTTCACAGTCATAAGAATTTTTCTATACATTCACATAGAATGAACTTAAAGATCAGAATGATATCTTGAGAATTTTAGAGACTTTCCCAGAAGTTAAGGGACCTCTGGAACTTACCCAAACACCAGAACAATCTAGACCAAAGAAACAGACATTAAAGACCCTGCTCAGATTAACCAGAATTTGAATGGACATAGCTATGAACTTGATTCTCCACCTCTTCAGTGTCTTCAATATGCATTTGCCATATTTTAATAAGCTTATGTAAGTTGATGAGATCATTGAAGATACAATAATTGCCTGGTAAAGATACCTGGGAAGCAGCAAGGAATGCCAGCAAACACTCAGGTGGCATAGCCACTTGGGCTGCCTAATTCAAGGGCCCAATGTCTGTGTAGTTAAATGACCCCTTAGTGTAAACCCATATTCTGAGGAAGGCACTGTTGGCTGGTTTCATCATTGTGCAGCCAGCATAAAGTGTACTAACACAGACACACATGATGTAGCATCCTTTATCCTGATCAATTATGATGCACCATCCACAGATGTGCATGCTGTACCTTCATATGACTGGCAGGTCAGGAGGCTTATCTGCTGTAGCATTGCCACAAATAGGTAGGCGAAAAGTGTGCTGCACTGTGACATTAAGACTGGTGCAGCATTACTAGGCGATGGGAATTTTTTAGCTTCCTATACTCTTGTGGAACCACCCCAGTGTATATGTTTGGAGGCTTTCCAAGCAGGCAGGGTTGGAGAGAGGAGGAAGAATGGGGCTAACTACATCAGTATATAGTTATCTACTTTTAAAAAAGAATTAAATAGTCCACTGTTGAAGAAACTCGCTATGCAACATGCAGCTGTACCATAACCAAGAGAAATGATGTTTAGGAAGTCTGGAAGAAAATTTATTTCCAGCTACTTTAATTCCCTCTGTTTCTACCATGTTGCTGGCTTCTCTTTTCTTCATTATTCTGCTGATTATGTCAGAAAATCTGTACAATACAATAAAAAGGCAGAGTTCGCCGGGCGGTGGTGGTGCACGCCTTTAATCCCAGCACTTGGGAGGCAGAGGCAGGCGGATTTCTGAGTTCGAGGCCAGCCTGGTCTACAGAGTGAGTTCCAGGACAGCCAGAACTACACAGGGAAACCCTGTCTCGAAAAACAGCAAAACAAAACAAAACAAACAAAAAAAAGGCAGAGTTCACAGAATTCAAATTCAACACCAGGAAGACCCAGTAGTATAACAGGAACATCCCCCACAAGGCATGAAATGGGGTATTCAACCAAAATCAAGAATGTCAGGGCCATTTCAGAGTTAAGGAAGCAAGATCTGTGTCCTTCTTTACTTTACAAAGATTACATTTGTCTGCCTCCTCTAATAAGTTTCTTTTATTTAAATTTCTTTTTGTAATGGAAATAAAACCCAGGCCCTAGTGCATGTTAGGTTCACATCTTGGCTCCTGTTTGCAGTTCATGTACCATTTGGCTCAAGCAAAAGTAGGTGAAGTGCCCGGTTTCATGTGGCACCATAGCTACCAGGATGCAGTGCAAGGTAGGGTTGTACTTCTTGTCAAACTCCTTGTTATGGGCTGTCTGGTCCCTCCCTTGCTTCCTCCTTTCAATTCCAGGGGTCTAACCCATGGACTTTTAAATGCTGAGTAAATGATCCACCACTGGGCTACACACCCAGCCTGTAACCTACTCTGTGTCATCTGAATGTGTCTCCAATGCCTGACTAGTGTCCTGCCCTGAGCCCTGCTGCTTCTCTTCCCATGATCTGCGTTTTTGGTCTCACCCTTCAGTCCCACAGGGTTACCAGGGGATGCAGAATTGTGGGTCTCCGGAGGCCAGGCTTCCTGGCACCCTACATGCTCAGGGGAGGAGCTGCTGTCATTACCAGCACAGTGGCACAGCTCCTGGAAGGTGTCTGATAAACAGGTCACAAACGTCTTAAAGTTTGATGTTTCAAAAACTAAGGAAAATCAGTAATGAATAATTCATCCGGGCAGCTGTTCCTCAATAGTGAACTTGGAGAGCAGTGTGACCCAACTGAGTGAATTAGCTTGAAAATAAAACACTGGGAATAAAATGGTGTCTGCTCTGCCCCTAGTGTCTTTGCTGTATGGTGATCTAGGGTGCCCTACAGCCCACCTGACTTCAGTGGAATCACTTGTAAAATAGAGATTGAGTCACAGTCTGACAATATTGTCAGTATGCAGTTAGATAGGTGTGTTGATGTTTGTCTTTCTGGTAAGACTGCTTAAATGCAGGGTATTGATATGATTAACTCTCCATAGTTGCTGATAGTGAGAGCTGTAGCTTCATTCAGGTTCTC